TGAAACTGAGCTGTTTAATAACTCGGCATCATATGTCTAAGTATCTGTCTGGGTGATCCTCCCGTCATCACCCCTTTTCACAGTATTTCTGAATATTCTTGTTTAATTTTCATATAAATTTTAGAATCAGCACCTAGAGGGTACAGGACAAAAGTGAGCTCATTAAAGGTAGACTAGAAGACCAAACACTTAAGAATAACGTGAAGAACCATATAAGACCAATGTGAAGAATGCTTAGAACTCTCTGAAGGACTTAGACAAAGACTTGAGAAAGTGTATCGCAGCTGCTCTTGGATAGAAACCACCTTAAAATGATCCTTTAAAGGTGTCAGTTCTCCCTGAGACAGCACAATCTCATTGTAAAAAACAAACCATTTATTGTCCTGTGTGGACTTTGTACTGCTTTTTGATCATTCCACAAAGAAATCATCATAAATTGGATGATCACTATTAGCTTGTAGTGAGACCCTGTCTTTACAAGGGAAATACAAGGCCTGATATTTGGATGAATCAGTTATTATTTCATTATGGACTTTTTGTGTAAACTTAAGTAGTGCTTGCATCTATAAAAAAAAAAAAAAAAACTAGAGGCTTTCCTATATCAAAATGAATGTTCTCTGCTAATATCACTTGAGAAATCAAATGTAAAAGTTTGAATTTTCAGTTTAATATCCACATTTTCTTGAAAATGGAATAGACATCCCCTAATGGCTAAGTCATCGTTCTGTACCACTATTTTGATTGTAGTATGCTAACACTGTCCCAGGTTGATTAGCCCTTAGCAAAATAACCCATCAAAACCCCAAGAAAAATTGGTATGTTTCATTAGGTGGTGAAACTCTACCTCCAGAGTGCGCCGAAGAACATAGACATGGGCTGTTGGTCTGTTTTCCATCTTGTGCTCTTCTTACCTTAGGTTTACTGCTGGTAGAAGAATGTGTGGGGAAGGGGAGGGTAAAGAAGAAAAGAATTCAGTCTCTGACAACTGATCGAAGGCTCCCAATGGGTTTGGTTTTGTTTGTTTTTGTCTTTTTGAAGCAGGGTCTCCCTGTAGCCCCAGCTGTCCTGGAACTCACTATGTAGACCAGGCTGGCCTTGAACTCACAGAGATCTGCCTGCGTCTGCCTCCTGAGTGCTGGGACTACAGGCGTGCGCCACCACGCCCGCCCCAGTAGGTTCTTTTAATTATGATTGAGCTAACATTGTTGGTTTCTGTTAAATGACAGAATGTTAATAACTGCGTACTTGTGGTCCAGGCTTTTAAGCATACTACTAGTAAGATCAAATTTCTCTTTAGCCAGTGTGAGGTGGGATGGACAAAACCAGCTTATTTGATCAGTTTCTGGAGACACAATCTGGCCACTGCTTTGCCCTACCTAGCTGGATCATCTATCCCGTCTTAAAATGAAGTACTAAAGTGACTGGTGGTGATTGAATTTCAGATTTTCTTTTTGAAGTTTCTGAAAGGTTCCTCTTTGCTTTAATAGCAGTAGCAAGCATGCTGACATTCTAGTGGAGCAGGGATGTGGGTAGGAAGACCTCCCCTCCCCTCCCTTCTCTCCATCTGTGACTATTGTCTGCACATGGAAATTTATTACCACTATTAGTCTTGTGACAGTTCTCAACCCCTGTATGTACTGATGAAGGAGGCAAACGGCCAAAAATTCATCCCAGCGTCTTTCCCAAGCCATCAGCCTGCAAAGGCAGGGTTCTCTAAGCCTTCCTTGATACTACTGGGTTGTTTTGTTTTGTTTTTAGTGATATGAAGAAATCACCTACATGAGGAAGCCCTCCAAACTTTTAGTGTTAGCACAGGATCAAAAAGACTGGGAAATAATGCAAGTTTCAGGATGGAAAGACCAAGTACTCTTCAGAAACCAAGTAAACATGTACCTGATAAATGTACTAATCCCTAGATAGACATTTCATTAAAGGGAGTGTTAAATGAGATGAGCTGAAATTCCCCTGGTGTAGTAAGGAAGAAACATGTAAGATCACACTTTAAAAATAATATTCCTCTATTCAAGCAATAGAATACAAATTACCGTGTCTCCCTCTGTCAAGCTGCATTTGTTCTATGTCACTGAATTATCCCCATCATATGCCAGCATACTTAATCAGAAACAAAGTTGATGTCTCTCTTCAGTACCTCCTTCCAGTTACAGTCCCACTGTTCTGCTTTTCTTCATAGCTAAAGATCTGGAAAGCTGGTGGACACTCCAGAATTCCTCAGACCCTTTTCTGCCCCACGCACCCTGCCTTGTCTGTCTCTAAAGCTGCACTTGGAAAGTTCTGGGTTGCCAAGCCATCTGACACTGTGCTGCTTTGGTCTCTGCTATCTACAGTCAGTTGGCTTCCTCTTGTAAATTCTCTCCTCCCTTGGCTGTACTGCGCCCTCCTTGTCCTCCCCCCAGTTCTGGATGTTACCGTGGCCTGCAGAGTCCCACATGCTGATACTCCTGTTTCACGTCCTTTCATTCTTTTCTGGTGCTGCTGTCCTTTCTCCCAGCAACCTTGGTCACACTCTCACCTTTGTTTCCTCCTGCATCTCAAGCTCCCCCCCCAACCCCCCCTCCCGCCTAGCCCTAATACCTTCTGTTTTCTCTGTCTGGAAAGTTCTTTCCCAATGCATCCACAAATGGCTTGTCTTAGGCAATCCCTTAACCCTCTTTTCTTTGACGTGTATACTTTCCTTTTATTCTTTGTCACAGCTGTTATTTTTATGTTTCATAGAAATTCACACAATTTAGGATATGTTATTAATGGACTTGTTTATTATCTATCCATTTTGAACATTTGCCAAGTGGCAGAGAACCTATCTGTGTGTTTAGATTTGATAATTACTTTGTGTTTGACCCCAAGTAGAATCTGTGTGCTTGACAGTTGAGTGAAGAAACAAACCTCAAGGCAGCGTGTTTTTGGTAGAGTAAAAGAACCTCAGGACATGTGTGAGGATGTGATAGATGAAGAACAAGACAGTTTAGTGGTGGCAGGAGAATCACTATTGGGATAATTTCTGTGATATTTAGACTTCAAAGCACTGCCTTACAGCTGAGGGAACATCAAAAGGCTTAATGTGGTAAATATAAAATGCCAAGCATTTGTCAGAACCAAACAAAAATAGAACTTAATATCCATCTAGTATCATGGGATTGGACATGGTTTTCAAAGCTACAAGTGCTATAAAGTCATTAAAGGAAAAAAATAACATTATCAAATTGAAAAGAATTAGTGTTTCAAAACTTTAAAGCCAATATTGGTGCTGGTGGGAAAGTAAATTCCTACAGCTGCTTAAGAGAATAAATTGTTGTTCAGTAAAGTTGAACATATGTGAACCGTACCAGATATGAGTATGGTGAGGGGCGAGGGAAGAGGTGATAAGAGAGCTGTTGCCTACCCCAGGGAGTCTGGGTCATGCTCAGTGGATGCTCAGTCTGCAAACAGTTGTTTGTGGTTGAATTAGTTAATGCATTGAAGAGCACAAGCCCAGTCATTAGTAGTCCCTTCTAGTGAACAACTTTGGAACTGGATCTCTGGATTTCCATGATAAAAAATGGGTTATATATGTTCCCCAATTTTCAGCCTATCTCCTATTGACTTCAGGGTTACCTCTTCAGAACTAGGTATTACACAGTTCCATTAAGGGACTACTGGTTCCTTATGGTCAAGAGCAAGAAATCTCTGGCCTTGGTGGAAACCTAATATTCCAGCCTAAAATACAAACAAATTAATCTACTTGGGCAGGTCAGTCACCCCTCAGGAAGACTGGACACTCCTAGGAAGGAGGACTCATCTTAAGGCACGCTAAAGAGATAGGATAATAAGATACTGTACTTTTCCTTCCCAGAATCCCCGCTCCCTTACAGAGCACAGCCACGCAGCTTCCTAAGTCTGCATAATTTTCTGAATTACTCAGAAAAGCAAAACTTTCCCTTTTCTTCTTTCTATCTCTTTTCTCTAACTCTTAGGATTTCACTCGCTCTTCCCCTAAGGTCTCCCTCCCTACCACATGGTGGCCTGTGGCCACTCGGTTGCCTTTGGCCACTCTGACCTCTGCACTGGCCTAATTCAGAAGGCATGTCAGTTTTCCTCGTCTCCTCCGTTCTCTTCTAGGCACCTACCAAGTTTTACATCACACCTGAGCTGGGCTTTTTCTTTTAAACTCTAATAAAATTGTCCTCTTTGAATAAACTTTGACTTTGCTTGACTTTGAAAATAAATTAACACTAATAATAATGCAAACAAAATCATGCAAAAATAACATGTATGTTATTTGAAAATAACCAAACTACTGAAAATGTAAAGCACTACCATCCATGTGATCACATAGGCCAAATAATTTAACAGAAAAATCACAAAGGGCAACAAAATGTTTAAAAATATGCTTAGCATCAACAATAGAATGTGAAACTGAGTTTTCAAGTATCAGTGGGGGTCTCCTGTTGCTATGGCACAGACACTGCATAGTCATGTACGGAAATCTCTTCTCAGATGGTCAGCACTAACTTTTAACAATCACTTTATTTGTTATAAAACTGTAGAATAGCAGGTCTTGGGGTTTGGGGCTTTCTCTTTTCTTTTCTTTTCTTTTCTTTTCTTTTATTTTATTTGAAGCAGTCTTGCTCTAGCCAAGGTAGGCCCCAGCCTAGGAGCTTCCTTCCGTCCGTAGCCTTTCAAGTGCTGAGACTATAGTCATATACCACCATGCCCAGAAATTTATTTTGTCCTCCTCCTCCTCCCCCTCCCCCTCCTCCTTCTCCTCTTCCTCCTCCTCCTCCTGCTCCTCCTCCTCCTTCCTCTTCCCTTCTTTCTCCTTCTTCCTATATTATTATTATCATCTACCTGAGACAGTATCTCATTCTGTAGCTCAGGATGTCCTTGAATTCACTACATAGTCTAAGCTGGCCCCAAATTTATGTCTGTCGTGCCTCAGCCTCCTGAATTCTGGGATTATAGATATGAGCTACCATGCCTAGTTGGACATAATTTTTAATATTATAACTTAAAAAAAATTAAAATGAAGTGAAGCCAAGTATGGAGATGCCCTCTAGTAATTCCAGAACTTGGAAAGTAGAGGCAGGAGGATTTTTTGATCCAAGCATTCTTGGCTGCATAGTGAGTTTGATTCCAGACTGGGCTATATAATCTCCTGTCTCGAAAAAAGAAAAAAAAAAAAAAATAGCAGAACAAAAAAGGTGACATTATTGTCTATTAATAGTAAATTGTGTGTGTGTGTGTGTGTGTGTGTGTATCAGCATAACTAATTAAGAAAACATATACAAAGATCTTATAATGGATTTTGTCCTTCAGCAAAAAATCTGATTTGCTAACAATGTTCACATAATGTATATAAACTTATAGTTTTCTGGGTTTTTTCTTTTTTTCTTTAGGAAAAGAAAGAAAGACAGGAACGAATTGAACGGAAACAAAAGAAACGTCATTCCTTCCTTGAAAATGAGGCGCTCCCTCCCTGGAGCCCTCCAAACAGAACTGTGTCCTCAAAAGTATTTTGACAATTCTGGTTCTTACATTATTTATCAATTCACCAACTCTAACCATGGATTTAAAACCACTTGCTTAATTATTTATAATTAGAAGAATCTATTTTAATTAAGTGCAGAAACTTCTGCTGACAATGAAAAAGATACCCTGGCATTTCATCAGTGAAAGCATTTCTTGAACTATAGATAAACTGCCTCACAGAAGAAAAGCGTATAATCAGGTTGCTGGGAAAATTAAAATGCATAAAGCTTTGTCATGTCCTGATAATTCCTGAAGTGGAGTGATCCACGGTCACTGTCACTAAACTCTGCATGTTTTTAAAGTGTATTTAATTCCTCTAACAGAAAGGATGCCGCGTAGGTACCAGAACCATCAACTAAGTGAATTGGTAGAAGCTTGTGCATCCTGTTTGGCGTTTGTAAATGAATGGTCCCTGGGGAGTATGTATGCATATATCATTTCTTCTAACTCTGATACTCAGCGCAAAGCAGTTGCATCTGCTCTGTGAAAGTTAGAGTCTTGGTGGGTTGAGGCAGTATATCTCTAATCAGTGAGTCACTTTGCTAAGAATTTTGCCTCATGCTTTAATCTGAGTGTGTGTTACCTGTTTCAGGCTTACGTGACAATCACAGGCACTTTTACAATGGGCTCATCTGAAGTTTTCTTTCTAAGTTCTTTCTCACTTTGTTTACTGTTTCATTAACACTAAAAGTCATCAACTTCGTGGCAGTGGTATATTTAGCACTGTAGTTTTGAAATTTCATTGGAGTTCAAGGTCATTGACAAAATTATTTCTAGAATAACATTATAAAGGTGATGACGGCAACTATTGCCCTCTTAACTGATCTAAAGTTTTGCCAGTTTGCATTTAGAAGCAGCTGAATAGGAAAATGAATTTGTAAAAATGTTCATGAACCTTTATTTATTTATTTGATTGCTGCTTATCCTGTATCAACTGGTCTCATACTTGACCTGGTCATCTATTTTAATACAGACCAATTGTTCAGATACTGCTGTAGTTAATAATGCAATGCAGAGACAATCAATGAAGAAGCAGCTGTTACCATTGATTAAGCACTTATATCATCTCTGCTGGATCTTTACAAATACTAATTGTCAGCTTTGCAACAACTATCAGGGTAGGTCTTATTAGCTTCATTGCACAAATAAAAATATTGAGGCCCAGGAAATAACAAATAACTTGCCATAAAACTAACATGTGACCTGTTGGGGATCAGCAGTGGGTGTGTCTCTGTCTGAGCATCTCCCTCCAGAGACATGTGTCCACAGATTGTGTGTTCTGACAAGACTTCTGTATTAATCAACCTTACAAGTGCATGCGAGTTCTCAGAGCCTCCTGTTTAGAGATTATATTTTTCTAGTTACTTGAGATGCTAGACCTTCTTAAATCTATAAAATGAAGTGAGAGTTCATGGGATTTAAGGTATTAGCCAAACATCTTGTAGCTAATATAAAAAAGGCAGCAGGTTTTGTAGTCTTTGAGATTTCAGGATTTTACCCGTTGGGCAGTAATCTTACTGTGTTGTGTGCATACAAAACAAGATGTTACGAACTGCTTTGTAACATCACAAATTGTATCACATGAATAAGGGACATCCACAGAGTAGACTAAAAGCCTTTTGATATTTCCAGAAGTTGAAATGGTTACCAGCCATATGTGCTATAAGGAAGGATTCAGATCTTCCTATTCGTGTGTTTCCCCACAATACCCAACACTAAACCTGCCAGGATAGATTAATAAGGGCTTCTTATATTGAGGGTATCAGTACAGGTAAAAAGATGTTTGCAAATTCCAGGGAACTAAAAGGAAAATCAGACAAAGGAACAGCTCCTTTTGGGGATCAGATACCATAGATGTATGTGTCCTGAGTGTCACATGTAGTTTAAATACTTTAACTCCCTGATTCTACAGTATTGTGTTTGGTATTTTACCATTGTCTCCTAAATTGTGATAATTAAATGACATCAGTTAACTGATATAAAGTGTCTGGAACATAAGGACTCAAATATTCAGTGTCATCATTTACCACATGCACATGAACAGGAGGTTAATATTGGGGAAGCCAGTGGGGCAGGGAACAGACAATGGTTATTTGATATCTCCCATTTTCAGCATACCGGACAAAGTCTTCTCCCTCTGGCCAGTCTGTGCTGTACCATTGACAATCAAGCACTGCCTTGAGGAAGACCCTCTTAGAAACCCAAAGGCTGATTTCTTAAGTCTGCCTCTGAAGCAAATGTAATGACAAGTTGAGGTTTTCTCAGACACGGAATGTCGTTTCCCTCAAATGTGATTTGAGATTTTTATCTTTCTAGGATAAGTAGTATGTTGTTTCTAACTTATAGTAACCTATATTCAACCTATGTTGATAATATTAAATTATATATTTGAATAAAATTACCTCTCATAGCAAAAATAGAGCTCTGGTTTTGGTGGTGGGTGAGCATCCAGTTCTATAATGTTGCATCCTTTCTTAGATCCAGAAGGAGAATCAAACTTGGGCATATTCTCTTATCTGTTTAAGGGACTTGACTTTCCTATGTTACCTTAGAAAGCACCAAATATCAATATAGATATCTATTTACTCATTGGATTTCATTAATTTATAATAATCAAAATATAAAACTTAACAAAGTAAGTTCCATAATCACAACAGCAAAAATATATTATACAAGTAAAAAGAAATAATGTAGCACTTTAGATGTCAAAGAAAGTCAGGTTTCCTTAAGGAAAGAAGCTAAGAACTAGTTTACCAGCATTCCAGTGACTTACATCTAATGTTCATTGTTGCCAAAGCAATACCTCTTACGAGAGTGGTAGCTACAGTTGTATGCTCCATGCAGTGATATAACTAAGTTAATAAACCTGGCCCCGATGATTTCTAAATTGGATAATCTACTTCCCAACCATTTTGGCTTCTCAATACATCTAGTGTTATTCAGTCTATCAGTGTCTGCTTGTCATCCCGCTTGGGGTTGTCTGGTTAAATGCTCACACTAGCTTTCTTTAGCTGTGGTTGTCGCTCTCCTGTTCCCTTTCCTTCCCTGCCTTCCCCAAACTATGCTCCAGTTTACAGCTGTTTGAGTACTCACATTGCTATTTAAAATATGGGAAAATAGTGAAATGTCTTCAATCCTGAGTCATGGACTAAGAGAAAACAAAGAAAAGAGATTTCACAAAATAGGAGACAGTGCAAGTTAGTAAAAATCATTGTCAGAAATAAGCTATTACAGAAAACGTGCCTAATTTAATCTTGATTCTGACTTCAGTAGTACCATATCAAAAGATATTTAAACCCCTGTGCTTCCATTCTACACAAAACAAATAAGTTGTTGATTTTCCTCATTCCTGTTGCACTGGGGAAAGAATAATAAAATGCTGTTAAATGCTGAGCTGGAGGCTTCTCCAAGTGCTTTTACTCTAAAATGTCATGTGGTGCTGCTAATTTGGAATGCGTTTACTAGGTATACTGATAGTTGTATAATGTTGACCAGGCTAGATGAAGTACTTGGTATTGAATTTAGGGTGTCTTAGGAATTACTGAGGGAGATATATTTAATGCCTGCTCATTGGTAGTATGTTTTCATATAATACTTGATTTACTAAAGTCAACCACTCAAGATTTATTTTATTGAGTGATATAATTTATTGACTTTATACCATATTTCATCTGTTAAGAAATGTGATGTGGGTTTATTTCTGGACTAAAGATAAAAATATGTCATGTTGATATTTCCAACCTAAACTTTGTTATAAACCAATTTTATCATACAGTTTGAAATATAATTATTAAATGATAGAAAATGCAAATAAGTTAAATCACCCCATGTTCCCATCTCCTGACAATAACTGTAGTTAGCCCAGTATCTTTTACCCAGTTTTATTTTCTAGTGCATTTTCTCCCGTAGCTGAAATGAAGAGAATAAAGGAAGGAACCTACCCCCCCCCCAGCTTCCGCTTCTCTGTCGGTCTGCCTCTCCTCCTCCTCCTGTCTCCCTGTGCTACCTAAGTATATACACATATGTCTCTGTGTTTACAGTATGTATTTTATTCTTTAAAATAAAAATGAGATCAAGCCACATATTTGGTAACTAGATTTTTCTATTCAATAATATGTCAAAGAATATTTCTGCACTAATATACTTTTAGTAACTTTTGATACAGTGCCTATGATTTATTTAACTTATGCCTGGGTAATTTGTTTCCTTACATGTTACAAGATGTGTTCCATGCCCTTGTAGCAGTATCAGTACTGAAGACAGTGAGTCTCATTAAATAAAATTAAAGACTAACAGAATTTAAGGAGCTATTCATCTTTTATTTGACATTAGAATGTTAGAAAACCTTGCAGGTTATATAATAGAGATTTTATTCCCAGCATCCTCATTGCTGCAGTGCTTATGTGAGATCAAAAGATGTCCTGGGTCATTTTGTAAGGTAATCAGTGCTGCAGATTTAAGGAACTCATCAATCAAACTAGAAGCCTTCTTCCACGACCTGAAGTGCAAGGCATACAATTTTGTGTGAAGTTCAGTTTTTTACAAAGAAGGTTCTGGAAATTGTTTGTCTAACACTTGAAAACAGTTAAGAACAATTTTTATGTATACTTTACCCCAATTTTTAAAAATACACAGCAAATAATCTTATCATATGAGAGAAATATGTAGCACCATGCGGGTAGCTGTATGAGTTTGTCTTCAATTGCTGTGACAAAACACTGACCAATACCAGCTTGCGGAGGAAAGGGTTTATTTGGCTTACATCTCCTGGGTCACATTTCATCAGGGAGCCCAAGGTAGGAACTCAGGGCAGGAACCCAGAGGCAGGAGCTGAAGCACAGGCCATGAAGGAACGCTGCTTACTGCCTTGTTCCCCTGGCCCCTGACCTACCTGCTTTCTTATACAACATAGGCCCACCTGCCAAGGGTGGCACCGCCCACAGTGCGCTAGACCCTCCTACATCACTCAACAATGAAGAAAATGCCTCACAGACATGGCCACAGGCCAGTCCACTAGAGTCAATTCCCCATAGAGACCCCCTTCTATCCAGGTGTGTCAAGTTGGCAGCTAAAGCTATCCAGGCAATAGCCAGCACGCTCATTGCAAATGACATACCACTGATCCAACTGCAGTTGTTAGGAAGGTGTTACGCTAATGGGCTGAAAATGAGATTCAAAGCTGAGTAAGAAAGCAACAATTCAACAAAACTTTAGTTAATCTTCCCCTCAGATACTCTTTCCTTTATTGCTGAGGATGGAGGGTGTATTGGACCAGGACTACAGCAGTGGAGATGACACATGGCTGGATTAGAGACACAGGAAGCAGAGCAAACACATTTTCCTAATATGTTAAAGGAATTACAAAGGAAAGCAAATAGTGACTCCAGTGTTTCATGGCCAGAGCAAATTCATAGAGAGTGGTACCCTTTATTCAGATGGGCTTTAAGGTAACAGGCTTGGGAGCAAGGACGGGAGGGTTATATAGAGTTGAAGGGATTGGGCCTAGAGATCTGAGGGCATAGTGAAGTGGCCAGAGGTGCTTCTCTGTCTCCAGGGCCTCTGACTAATGCTGCATGCACCTCACTACATAGTAGAACTCCACAACACACTCAGAGTTCCAGAATGTTTAATGTGCTCTTCAGCCTGGGTCATTTTGTGTCCCTCAGAGCAATCATACACATTGAAACTTCTGCCCCATGTGGATGCGATGATCACATCCTTTACTGTGTTGTATATGTAAAAAAAAAAAAAAAAAATAGGAAGATGGAGAAGGGACATGGAACTGACATCAGCAGAACAAGCAGGTTTATTATCCAGAGACAAAACTTGAGAAAACACCTCCTCACAGCCCCTGATCTGGAGGAAGGAGCCAATCTTAAAAGACTCAGGATTTTTTTGCTTTTTATTTTTTTCATTTGCAAGTGCCTTGTAACTGGGATTGTGTCCTGTCAGGAAAGGTACCTGGAAGGGGTTCTGTGCTATATGGAGGAAGGCAGCCAGAGGGCGGCAATTATGCAGGACGCTAGTCTCCAGCTTCTTCTGCATTCGGGGTCTAATATTTCTCCTTCAGTGTGTCCCTTCTATCACATCACACATTCAACAGAGGCCACTTCAGTACATCATGATGGTGACAAAAGTGTCTTTTCCTTCTAGGAAGTTGCTTGGTCTTTGTACCACTTTTTTTTTTTTTTTTTTAACTCTCTTTCCAGCCAGTTTCTAGTTTTTTCAGATCAGCAAATAATTAAAACCAATATTGGTCAAGCAAAACACACAGACCTAATATCCCATTTCAGAGCTAATAGTAATAGAGTCATGAGACATAAAATTTGTTGAATTATAAAGTGTCTTTCTAGACAGAGTTTGATTCCTCCAAACATCCAAAATGAGTGCTGCCTTCAGCAATAGGGTCTTACCATCTAAGAGGGTGATCGATCGTCCAGGAGCAATGACACTAACCTGTGTTTTGGGTAGGGGACGCTCTGGGACCTCTGTGACCAGTATCTCTTAGAGAAGTAAGTATCCCAAGCCTAGAGATTTTCATGTAATAACCCATGTCTTCTGGGAGTAGCACTCTCCACCTATGTGGAATAGTTCTGTTTGTGCTCCCTGTAATACATATATATTATGCATTTTTAAAATAGCCTATAAACTAGTGGATTTCTGTAAAACTTTTCATATATTTTAGTTCTAGCTAACCCATCCCCCTACCCTCTCCTCTCCCCCAAATCCCTCACTAAACCTTTAACCATGAGTACATCCTCCTCTTTCATGTCCCCCGTGTTCTATTTGCTTTAATTGAATTAAGAACTTTTGTTCTTGATTTGAGAATTTCATATAATGTATTTTGATCAAATAAAGCATTTGATTCCCTTCCACCATTTCTAGCTCAACATTACTGCCCCGACTTTAATCTCCTTTGTTATTATTATTTGCCTTTTTTTTAAGGCCTATCATTTAATCTGTGTTCTCCAAATACTCTTGGATGTGGGTCTATCACTTAGAGTCTGGTCAACCTACCAGGCATCACACCAGTTAAGAAAACTGCTCTCCCAGCAGCTATCAATCGCTTAATAGATTCTCAGCCAGGCCTGGGGCTTCTTGCTCACCTCCCCTATCCGTGCTGGGTTTTTGTCTAGCCTGGGCTTGTACAGATTCTGAGCACAATATCTCAAGAACTGTGGGTTTATATGTGCGACTACCCTGTGGTGTTTTTCTTGGTTTGGAAGATCATGGGCTTTTCATGTTCCCTTCATTTTGTCTAAGCCTTCCTCCAGTATCTCACTCCCATTCTCCACCCTCTCCATGTTGGAACTGTTCCTCCCCCAGGACTCCTCCTCTCTACTTTCATTTTATCTGTATTTTCTGTCCACTTCCCAGTAGCCCATTTTTCGTTACCAGACTTCCACATGAACTCCAGGTTAACCATATAAAACAAAAGCTTCAAAGTTAGAATTCACATATGTGAAAGAACATGTGGTGTTTGTCTCTCTGGGCCTGAGTTATCTCACTTGCTATAATTTTTTTTTCTGGTTTCATGCATTTACCTGAAAAGTTCATGATTTCATATTTCTTTAAGCTGAATAGTATGTCATTGTTTTTCTTATCCATTCAAATTGATGGACATTATTGGTTAATTCCATTTCCTAGCTTTTGGAAACTCTCTTCCTGCTGGCTAGCTTACAATAGTGCCAGAAGGCATTTTCCAGGCTTCTGGGAGAGAAAAGATGTCAGCTGTCTTACCCAGTGTAGGACCATATATATTACAACACTGACCTACTGGCAAGATGTACTCACTGGTACAATAGTGGCATGATGATTGTGGTAGTAACCAACTGCTAACTGATTGCATAGAAGACCTTCTCTTCAGGAGAGATTTCTTTACTGGTAATGTAAACCTGTGAAAAGTCCATGACTGTGGAGATCATAGGCCTTGGTGGAAAGGGACCTAATATTAATTATTGTTTTCTAAATGGCCATGCTGTCAAACTGCATTCTAAATATTTATGTTTATACCTGTAGATTTGTGATCCTTTTCTTTGTGGTGGTAGTCAATGTAGAGATTCATAACTGGTCCAAATGTCAAGTATATATAACTCTGAGTGCTTGACTATGGACAGGTCATCTATATCAACTTCACACCATGAGAGGCTCGTGAACTTTGAGGAAGGTGGGAGATTATGTAGAAGCTGGAGGATAGGGAGAACTGAAATCTGACTTCTGGACATGGCTGACTGTTTCATGCATCAATTCACAGCAGCTGTGGCTACCTGCATAGGACCTGTATGAGATCAAGCTAGTTAAAATTCCCAGCATGGATGGCGAAGGGTTCCAGAGACTCACTCTTATTGGAGGAGAGATAAGCAACTGATAGCTACTGAGGGAGGTAGAGCCACTCTCCTTTGGGGATGTGGTCACTAGTAGGTTGCTCATGCCCCTATTGATAACACATCCATGTGCATATGAGCAACACTAATTGGACTCGGAGGGTTATTGACATCAAAAATATCAAAATAACATGAAGAAGGGAGAAAGATGGGGTTAGGGGCAGTGAGGGGAGTTGGGAGGAGACAGCATTGGTTGGATATGATCATCTATGTTGTATAACTGTATGGAACTTTCAAAGAAAGAAATATTTTCTTTCAAGTGTCATTCTTTCCTGATCCTAGCCACCTGGATTTCTGCCCAGGAGGCAGCCATCATTATCAGTTGCTACAGTTTGGGTCCACCTATTGAAGGCTTAGTCCATAACTATGTGCTCTTGAGGTGGTCGACTCTTTAAGAGATGGGACCTAGTGAGAGCACTTGAAATTATCACGGCATGGTCTTAAAGGAGTGGACACCTTGGAGCCTCTTTTCTATTTCTTTCCCAGCCAGGAGATGAACGGCTCTGCTCTACACCATCCTCCTTCCAGATCCATAGCATTAGGGCTATGGAGACATGGAATGAAACCTACAAAACTGTGCACCAAAATAAGCTGATTGTTTTAGGTATTTGTTTTGATTACAGAAAGCTGACTAACAAATGCCAGTACTTCTCTGAACATTCCATATATTAACCTGTTTTTTGTTGCTGTTGTTGTTTTCCCCAAATAATATCCTACATCTACTGCTGTGATTATGTCTTGGAAATAGTACAGTAGTAGTACATGTATAACTACCTTCTTATTTATAGCTACATTTGGTATTTTATTTGAACAACTTCCTTATGAAAGGCAAGTTGCTTATTTTTAATTCTTTACTATCAGTGTTAAATAATCAGCAGACATAATTGTGTTAATATGAACATTATTTGTAAATA